TGTCCACAGAGATACCAACACCTTGCATTGCTTGCAACAATCCATGCTTGTTCCATAGATTCTGGCTCAAGAGTACACTCACAAATTGGAGCAGTTGACGCAGCAGCAGATTTTCCGAAATCTTTACGGCAACTTGGAGAAAAATGCATGATCAGAGCTTCTGTACGTATCTTGCGAACGAGGTATGCCCTTGATCTTTGATCCTATCGGACCAAAGCAAGACGACACAGGGAACGTCGGCAGAGCTTTGCTCTTGCTGTGGGGCTGGCAGTGTCTCCTGCTCAGTGAAGATAAGTAGATAAAAGTTCAGAAGTTCTGCCAACTCTCATGTGCTTCGAGGTCGTAAGCGGTCTGGCGATTTTGAAGTGCTGTCAGGCCTAGGGATGGTTGCGGTACTGTATTATCGTTACTTTGCCTGCTCTCGATAAGACACCCGCGCCGTCTCACTGCAATCTGTTAGGCCCTGTCACAGATCTTGTCAGCGATGAACCTCACTCAGGCCTAGCCATCTCCGAATCACTCTATTTGACCCTTGTTCGTTTGACCCTCATTCGATTTCTTTGCAGGAGCTCTTCACTCCTTCTGGGCGCGAGGAGACCTGGAAAACTTGAATGGCTCCTGGTGTCAGTGGGTCGCACATAGGATGAGCTTGGCAATGACGAAAAACGCAATGATAAACAATGTATACATTCCGATGCTAAGGTGACACTTTCATTGTGCCAATTCTTCACCGCTTGTGTAGTGCTGCAGACCAAAGCTCTCGCATTCATTGCCACTTGAATTACAGTATGAAAATTGCATTTACAATACATTTTTCAACAAGAGTCATGTGTGCGAGTTATCTGCAAGGCGACTACTTCATGAAGGAGATTGTCAACCGGTTGACTCACGTATGTGGACGAACTTGCGCAGATTGGTGGCACTGTTTCTCGCCATATTAAGCCTTACCTGTTTTATTCAAGAAGTAGAAACTTGAGTATCCGGGATCAAGCACTTGAGTGATCACTGCAAGGGATGAATTGCGGCTTTGGAGTGAAGCATGTTCGACAAAGCCAATGCAAAGTGGTGAAACAAAAAGAATGTGATAAGCTGTGGTTGGACTCCTCCTGGTGTGGCTCGCTTGCATCCAATGGTGCATGTCATTGGGTTCACACTGTTAGTACAAAACATTGAAGCAACTGAGCAATTCGACCTAGGCGATGCATTGGTTTGGAAGATTACTGGCCGGATTCGCAGCACGGCTGATCTTCCTTCAGCGGAATACACTCCGAACTGGAAGCAGCTCCCACGCAAGCGATGGTATCGTCGGTTCAGGCTGGGTAAGTATTGGTATGAAACGAAGCGCGAAAGCGCGAACAGACAATGATTCCAGGGGACCTGCTCCGAGACTACTAGCAGCCTCGTGGCCAGAGGCAGGACGGATTCTTTTTCCTGATTGCGGATTAGTCTTATCATTACGCGTGTTAGGAGCAAACCCAAGTGAAGAACTACAGTAGCCCGCATGTGGCCTCAGACCTGTCTTTATGACTGGCGCTGTGTGTCTGTCTGGTGATGATGGAGAGCTAAGGAAGGAGGTGGCAGAAGACCACAAGACAGGCCGGAATTTAGAATATAGTGCAGCAACGTCCTTTTTGAAGCGGCGCCCAGACGCTGCAAAGGCTTAGATGAATGGTGTGACATGGTGGGAGATGTGATTCCGCTCAATGATCTGTGGTGTGTCCTGCTTGGCATAGATATATTGGACAACTACCCATGTATCATCTGATGAGAAGCTCTATTTAGCTAAGGCATTGCGGCATTACAGAAAAACACACGGATCACTGTGCTTAGGTGGGTACTTTGTTGATGCCATCGTGGCCCGACTGATGGAAGAGAAGGACGCTGGATTGGGTTTTGCCACTTGATTGCAGCAGACATCTCTTTACTAGAACACATTCATAGAAGACTGAGGCTTATCCAAGAGGCAAAGACGTCGTTGGCGTGAAGAAAACATTAGACGGTGGCGGGCCAGCAAAATGCGCTGGATGGAAGCCAGAAGGGATGAAGAAGAAAGCGAGATTCTGGAGCAATACGTTGCGATTGCCAGAGAAGAAGCCAGAAGTATGATTGAGAATTCAAGTCTCTCTCTTGCATTGGTGTGAGGTCAACATAGAATTCGCAAAGACTAAATCCGCATGGTCTCTATTTCTAAGCCTACATTTGTATACCTTCATTGCTGTGAGGCTCTTCGGGCTTTTTGCGCCCCACTTCAGAAATCCGTCCGAAGACAACCATCTCTCGCTTTGAGTGTCTCGGCTGATGAGATCTGTGAATAGTCACTGAACTATGCTAGCGTTCTTCTCCCTTGCCTGAGGACAAAACAATTCCATCACGTATGCCTTGTTGATGTTCTCCGATGCCATGGATGGAAAGTTCCGTACGAAGAACATGGACCATTTTTCGCAGTAACAGACGGGAACCGCTTCCTGAACAAGTGGTCGCCCTTAACTCAGTTCAACATGATGTCACATCTTTTTCTGCTGCGTGTCAACACAGAAACTCAATGCTATGACCCATGCATCTTTCAGGAAGAAAGTGGTGTACATCGACCCCCAGTCACTCACCCACGAGGCCAAGAATGCTAAGTGCATTCTTTTCCAAGACCAGCACTTTGTGGCTTTGCGATTCTTGGATGGGCAATGGGAAATCAATTTTGAACGGTATACACATACCTGGGAAAAAGCTGATCTGTACCGTGGCCTTCAGCGTGGACATCCCTACTGTCAAGATGAGAAGGGCGTGTGGATTATCGATGTGGAAGAGGTCGATGCTGCCTATTACATTGCTTCCCAAGAAGATGTGTGCCACAACAGCAGAGGAAAAGATGAGTGCGGTGGCTCTATCTCTAACCACTCTGGCATGAAACGAAAGTGCGTCGAAGAGGATGAAGAATAAGCGCAATTCCGCTCAACAAACATTCGGCACAATCGTCAAGTTGCTCTGAGATTGACATCTCTGCGAAAGCAGGGGGTGTTTGTGTGCCAAACTGTTGGAATGCAGCAACAGTCTCTGAAGTTCAAGACATTGGTCGGTACTGATCTAGAACAACTTCTTCCCCAAATTCTGATTCGAGGATCTGTCAACAGAAGCTTAATGCCTTTGAAGCCAAACGTCTGGCCTTCCAGTGTGCCGGTTCCACTGGATCATCTGAGCCAGTTACACAGGCACCCCAGAGATGAACGATTGACTTTCGACGCAGCAACTCACACCTATTTCTGGGACGGATCGAAGGTTCACATTTCGTGCACTGGGCTCATACATCGCTTCAGTCATGACTTTTGCGCAGACAAAGCAATTGAAGCAATGAGACGATCCAACAACTGGCCACGGCCACAATACATGAGGGGCTCCGTATCCCAGAAACTTATACTTGACCTCAGCAAACTTCCTTACGCGCATTTGTTTCTAGATCTCCTGGATGGACCTGGCAGATGCCAAACAAAGTTGTGCCAAGCGATTCAGAAGCTGATGGTTCACCACCCTGAAGACAGTAACTTGCTTTTGTCTCTTGCAACGAGCGACGAAGAAATTAAAGAGCAGTGGAAACAAACTGCTGAGATTGCATCATCACAGGGCACCTGGATGCACGCCAGCTTTGAGTGCTTGCTCAATGGTGGCTACATAGAGACAGAAGATCGTGAAGACATGGAGCATGTTCTGTTTTGGAAATTTGCTCGGACTTTGCTTTCTGCTGGCGCAAAGATCTTTCGGACAGAGTGGACGATCTACGCAAGCGAGGAGGACCTTGCTGGCTCCATCGACTTGGCAGCTAGAATGCCGGTCCCTTGGGTGATGCTTTCAGCCAACCCTTTGCAGTTCAGACACAGTTTCGTTTTACTTTTCTCACTTCTTTACATCTTTTGTGTTATTCCTTGCGCACGTCCAAGTGTAGACAGTGTTGACATTGTTTTTGTTTTGCCTGTCTGCGTGAGGACAACGCTCTGTATCTGTTCGACTGGAAGCGAACAAAGAATCTTCAGTTCAAATCCAACTCCTTTGGCAAGTCAATGCTGCCTCCACTGGCTCATGTGCCCGATGCAACACTATGGCACTACAGACTACAGCTCAATCTATATGCCTCCATCATCGAGAAATACTACAATGAGACTGTGGGTGCAATGTTTGTGGTTGGCTGTCACCCCGATAATGGCATGCACCCGTTCGTGGACGATGTTCCCCGCATGCGCGCTGAAGCTGATCTTCTTTTGAGAGCATCGCAAACAGATCGCCTTGGGGGGAGCAGTCCTGCACAGTGGACATTACAACAGAAGCATGTCTTTCCAAGGCCTTCACCTATTGATCCAGAAATGCAAGCCAGGATTTGGGCTCAGCTGAAGCAATTCCGTACGGAAGTAGAGCCTTCGTTTCCTACACTTGCAAAGTTTCCGCATCTCTTTTGGATTCTACCAGTTCCTTTTGATCTGCAGCAGCCACGTGTGAATTGGATTGTTCAGATGAGGGCATATGGTTGTTTCCTGTCCATGATTCACAACGGTCAGTCACAACAGTTAGAGCTTGCCCTGATGGCGTACTACAGTCCAGAAATTGAGAGGAACTTTGGACTGCTAGAACTGGTTTCAACTCAAAAGGCTTCTGTCAGCAGACGTGACAGGCTGAAGAGGTTGATGGCTGCTTGGATGTGCTTGCACGTGCTGTCTGTACCAGTCCCAGGAAGTCATATCTTGCCACTCGCATCATCTACACCTCAATCCCGCTATTTGACAATGCTGGCAGTTGTTCCAAATGTGCCGCTCACCTCGAAAAAGAATAAGAATAAAAAACCCTGTATGCAAGGAGGGTATGATGCACTTGGCGGTGGCCAGTTCGATTCAGATGGATGCTCGTCTTCAAGAACTCTGTGTCTCATTTTCTTTCAGTTGTTAAAAAGGTTAAGCTATTCTTGAAAGGTGTTTCTTTGCAGTTATTGTTTTGTCTGCTTCATACCTTAAGGAGAGAGCGGCATGCCTGCAATTGGTTGCGCTGATGACTCAGTAGACGTGGCCAGCCAGCGAAGCGGTCCACGCACTGCTGCGAAATCGAAAGCAGGTCCAAGCCAGAGAGTAGAAGACAGTGCCATGAGAATTGTCAAGGAAGAGGACAAAGAAGCTGACGACATTCCTCTAGAAGATGCTACTTTTGAGAGGCTGAAGCAAAGACGTCACATGAGGGGAGCCAACACGTCAGATGTAGATTTCGCGCACCTGTTCAACTCCTTGGCAAAAATGAACGACTGCTTCCAGCAAGAACCTGCAGAGGAGATCGATACGTCAGACACCATCTTGCACAAGGTTCGGCTATGGCAAGATTGTGTGCGCAAGACATTTGCGGATGGCTCTGACTATTTCATTCGCCTTGGGGTGGGTGTCTTGGCATTTGGGCGGGCCAGACAAGCAGACATCTTTCTGCGAGAGCACGCGTTGCTGTACTGGGTCGCCGAAGGCCACTCCACCCTGCGTTTCCACACAGGCGACTGCTACATGAAAACCCCAAGTGGTGCATTCCAACAGCACAGGGGCATACCCCCTGACCATGATCGCGTGCAAATTTTTCTTCTGCATGTGGAGGGCATTTTTCGGAAAATGCCCGCGCGAACACACCGGACTACTGCAGGACTGCTAGGCGCAATGAAAAACATTCTCCTTGACTATGACAACCAGGAGAATCAATTCTTGGCTGCGTGCGTGAATGCTTGCTTAACTTTTGAAGGGCAGCAGCGCAAAGAAAAGAATAGAGAAGAACATGCAGATGAAGAGCAAGAGGGTCAGGGGCAACAAGGTCCACAAGGACCATGGAATGCAGCCACTGCGAAAACCATCATGGCAGTGAAAAAGCAGTTGTCATATGAGCTGTGCCAAGATAAGCTCCTACATTTTACGTCGGAATGGTGTGACACACCCAAGGAAGTGGAAGCTTCGTGTTGCTACGAAGACTGCGCGGTGAAATACGATGATGAGCTCCTACCCGCTCGACAAATTCAGCGTGAGCAGCTTGTGAACTGCTATTTGAGAATCCCTCATTCCATCAAGCAAACAGTGCCTGCCGACATTGTGGAAAGGCTTCGCAAGTTCTATTCACAGACGTTCTGGGGGAATATTGAAGCCTTCAAATGTGGACAGGCAGCGCAAGCCTTGGCCAAACGAGGTCTCAACGTTGTTCGGCTCTTTATTGGACTATCTAGTGGTGGGGTTGGACAATCTCTCTACTCCACTCATCTTCAAGCAATGTATGCTCACAATTTTGCTTTCTTTGATCCTGGCGTTTGGTTCCACGAAGATGAAATGAGGAAGCAAGTGGAACAATTGAATGGACGTTGCATTCTGACTGGGCAGGAGAGTCCGTCTGGCACTGGTCGCGCCTGGGCTAGAGTGTGGGTTTGTAATCTACTTGTTCTAGTTCTTCTGTTTGATGTGGCCATCGTTTGCTTAACTGAAACCGTTACTTTGTACACCCAAGGCAAGCTGAGAGAAGACCTATTCAAGAAATTCGTCAGTGGCGACGGCATCGCAGGACGAAAGCCCTATGGGTTCAGCACCAAGATGAATCACTGTGTGGGCTGGAAACGCCTAGAGGCAAATCGTATGTTCACTTTTGAAGATGTGGGCAAGAGAAATTTAACGCAATTTTGAGAAGAGCGCTGGTTTGGAGAGCCAAAGCAAGGTTTGAAGATCCACAGGTTATCGCGTCCGCATATGCAGATATCCACAAGGACGGTGTCTTTCCGAAAGACCCAGATTTAGCGAGCTTCCTCACATCTTCGGCTGCTGTCGCTGCAGCGCTACAAATTCAGCATGCATTCGAGGCAGAGTACAGCAAGCAAGCTTGCATTGACATGATCGAGAACTATGTCACTTGGGGTGGAGATGGTGGCTTGACAGAGCAAACAATGAGGGAAGCGTGCAGGCTCCCGCCCAGAGATATCCGTGCTGCCAACACAAAGTTTTCTGCAGTCATCCACCTAGATGAAGTAGAGGATGATGAAGAAAAGGAACAAAAAGCTCAATGGTGCGCTGCACGAGAAGCTGTCATGGATGTGGCTTTCAGCAAAAAGAAAATTTTCTTCCCGGAAGCCTTGTTGACAAGCTTGAAAGCCAAGGATGGCCCAAATGTTTCGAGAGAAGGCTTGCTTGACGGACTGCTGAACATGAAGTACTTGCAGAGGTTGCCTGGATCAAAGAAGGCGGACACCCGCTACATTCCTGTCTTGACTGCTGAGGTCTCTTTGTGTGACATTTTGCATCACCAGGATCGGATTTGTGAGCTTGAGTTGTCTGAAATGTATAACATCGACAAGTTCAGCAACTACCTCACCCAGCATCCTCACAGAGCAGCTAATTCAAAGATTTTGGCAGATGTCCTTCAAGCTTCTTCAGAAAGCAGAAGACCTAGAGCAGGCAGACCTTCACCAGAGGAGGTCAAGCAGAAGGAAGACATGCAAGCTCGCAGTCGCAAATTGCGGAGTGCTGAGACTCACGGAGAGGAGTTGCTAGAGGCACTAACAGAGCCAATCCAGAAGAAACGCAGGTTCTCGCAGAAAAAGCCTGAAGTCAAGACAGAAAATTCTGAAGATCACATTCTCATCCGCAAGGTGAACTACCAATACCCTGGCCCTTGCACTATCCGAACTCGCAAACAAGTGGTAGGTATCGGAGCTCAAAAACTCAGCAGAAGAGCGCAGGTGATGCTTTTGGATCAGACACATGACCTGGACATCGAGAATTGTCTTTTCACTTTGCTTCCCCAACTGCTGGAGAAATTGAAATTGGATCCACCAATGCCACCGGATGCACTAGCAGCCTTTGCCCAGTGCAGGTCACAAAGGACTAAAGTTTGCGCAGATGTCTTGCAATTGCCCCTACACGTGGGCAAAGAGCTGCTGGTATCTATTCTGTACGGCGGACATGTATCGGGCAAATTGGTGCGACATGACTTTGTGCAATCTTTGCAGCGAGCATCTATGTATTGCAAATGGGCTGCTGCTTCCAGCTTACCTGAGGAGTTTGCATCCTTCGTGGAGGACACTACAAAGAAAAACCCTGACAGCTCTGTTCTAGTTTATCTCTACATGGCCGCTGAAGACTACGTTCTGTCTCACTGGTGCGATCATCTTTTGACCTTTTCACCCACCCACTTGTCACTACACTTTGATGGTGTCCGCATATCACCTCTGCAGGGGATCTCCATTGAAGAAGTTTGCAAGCAAAGTGCATCCTACATTCTGGACAAGACTGGCTTCAAGGTCACAATCCGAGAGAAGAGACATGAGACTGTGAATGCCTTGATCAAGAAAGCTGCTGCGTGTGCGAAGAGGGCTCCCTTTCCCACAGATCATGTCTACTGTGTGCCAGGGAATTGTATTCCCCACGCTTTGGCCAGTTTGGGTGCCATTACGGAAGAGAAGGTGTCACTGTTGACAGAAGCATGCCCAGACAATGCATATATGCAACAGCGTGGATGTCGCACATATCTGCAATGTTCCAATATGTTCCACTGTTCCTTCTCGCCCGTCTTGTGCACTCAGTCTTTTGATTTTCGAGGAAACTTCCTCTTACATTCCGAAAATGGTGGCAGCCCACATTGCGTTGCTGTGAAGCAGGACGAAGAAGACAAGCTGATTGTTTTTGACACAGATGGTGTCTTCCACTTAGCAGTAGCTGACTTCGAGACAGCGTTGTTAGGTGGTGTGGATGCTGCCACGTGTGTTATTTTCAAACTTCAGGACGGCAAAAAGGATACAGATGTGGGTATGTCCGATTTTGATAACCTCCTGGACTTAGCAGCAGGGAGTTCTGAATCAAATGAAGAATGCACTACAGACGATGCTCAGGACACAGCATTATTGCCAGAGGTGTCCGAAAAGAAGGGAAGCTTTGATTGGCTAGATGACACTGGACGTGTGATCACCGACCAGGTGTTGTTGAGTGATTTGCAAACGGAGGCGCAAAAGTTTATGGAAGCTGCCAAGGCTGGACAATTCCGAGCCGAACGCGGTGCTTTTCAATGCCCTGCGTGCCCCTTCCGGAAGTTCGACCGCTGCAAGCGTCTGGCTGTCCATCTTTCTCGGTATCATACAGCAAAGCGTCAGTTCTGTTGTTCCGGCACAAAGCAGATCAAAATCATTCTTGCTCTCCATGACTCAGACATGATTGCTGAAAAAAGGCAAGGGAACTACCTGAAGCGAAGCGCCACGCTGCTAAGAAGATCTATCAAGCCAATGCTTTCGCCGCAGAACAACGCCGTCGACAAACAAATTCGGTTTGTATTGGATGCTTCAGGTCCAAGGGTAGTGCGTCGGCAAGCGCTTCGCAGCGCGCGTCGAGTTGGCAATATGTACTACACACATTCCTTCGCTGAGCGGATCTTCCAAGAAATGCTCTTGAACCATGCCAAGGCGCGGGGAGATGAAAAAGGTTCAATGGTCGCACAGCATGTGCTATGAAGGTGAAAAACCCTTGTAGTGACTGCTCTAAGCACCCCTCAGGTGTCTGCCTTGGTACCTCGTTTTTTGCTTGACTCAGCAAAAGCTGGCAACAGCCTGGCGTCAATGCTGCCCACCCACACTGCGTGTTGGTGGCCTGTGGTTGAGGACGTATTCGCATCAGCAGCTTGCAAAAAACTCCGTCATCATCTCCTGGACCAAGCTGTTGCGCATGAGGAGTGCTCGTACCTGTCCATTGATGGAACATTCAAGGTATGCTTGCCATTGATGGGGCAGGGTCGGTTTTCAGACCCAAGAGCCTTACGCGACCAGCATCCTTTTCCGGCAAGTGACAGCTACACCCGTGTTCTCTCAGTGCGGGGAAGAAGCGGTGCAGTGCTTTGCCTGGAGCCATCTTGTGGAGAAGGCGCAGACCACATCAAAGCGTGTCTTCAAAAAAGCATTTCAGCGCCTGGACTTTTGCAAGTGGAACATATTGCAAGCGACAATCCTTCACCGAAGCTTTTTTCTGAGCTCAAATCGATCTGCGCAAACCTCAAGGCCTTGTCTTTAGACCCAACACATACGGCTATGCACTATGAGCAGGGGCTGGGAGGAAGAAAGTCTGCAGGTTCGAGCCTACTTCGGTCATTCATGGTGAAGTTCACCAACCACGACGAAGCAGTGACCCAAAACATTTGGGGACCATTCTTTGAAGGACAAGCTTGCGTGGCCCTATCTCGTGAGGAGCAAATGTTGCGACAACACATTCTGGACAGCTCCTTGGCAGTTGTCCGTTCCAAGCGGATACTGGCTTCTTGTGAAGAATTGAAGGTCTGGCCTACACGGATTCAGTTGGTGGAGGCACTGGCTGCACTTTCCTGTCTTCACAGAACCGACATGGGCCGGAAGATCGAAGGGACTAAAACTACGCTGGCGAAGCTCCTACACAATGTCACAAGTGCAGAGAAGCTGGAGTGGCTCTTCAACAACTTGAGGTACAGGCAATTCTTACCACATCGAGTTCGTCTGCTGCTGCCTTCAGGCACTACTGCCAACGAAGCACTCCATGCAGAAATCAATTCATGGTATCGACAGACTCAGCAGATGCACCGCAGCACATTGGTGCAAAAGCTGCAAATCCAGCAGCTGGGCAAACTATTGGCCCACAACATTGCTTTGCACAGCCCCACAGCAAAGCAGATGCCAAGCTCTCATGTCCTCTCACAGCGAGTTGGAAATCCTCTATGGTCAGCCAAAACCTGGCAGTCGGACATGGCGCAACAAGCATCAACCTTGCCATTGAAAGCTCGCAGAAAAACAGAGAAGGAGCTGGTGGCAGAAGCAGCTAAAAAGCGTCCAGCAGCAGCTCCAAGGCCGAAGGCGCGTGCGAAGCGCACGCCATTTACTTTGGAGCGCAAGCCCGGTCTCCTAAGGAGCGGGGTGCGCAAAAGAAACTCGATGTGACAGGTGAAAAAGAATTGCGTAAACACTGCTTGTTGTGCTTGTGCAAACACAAACAACACTATCTTTGGACATTGGCACGCTGGATTAGACTTAACCCTTTTACACTCTGCGCGCTCAATACACAAGCAATTAGTATGTACTCTCAACGATCAATATGTTGCTTTCTCCCGGCCCTACCTGCTTGCTTGCCTGGTATAGAGGGAACCTAATCTCTATGATTTGCTGGATAGTTTCTTGGCATCGCGCTCCGCATCTGGTTCTCCAGTTTCAAGTCCAGTTATGGAAGTGGAGCAACAGCCTTGCTATTTAACGTCTGCGAAGTATTATTGTGCTCTTTTGCTGACAGGAAAAATGGGCGGGTGCTGGATGTTGCACTTAGAACCAAAGCAAATGTTGTCTTGAGAGCTCCCACGACTCATTGTACCTATTTTTCCATGCCACCCCCCCCC